TATAACATTTCTAAGACTACACAAACATGGAAGAAAGTAGTATGAACTGTTAAGGACTTATTCAGGATACAGATTTTCAAACTCAGGATGCAGCAACAGCTGGAGGTGAAGTTTATCATCACCATCCTTACAATGGATAAGGGACCACTTGTGCTAAGCATTGCAATTCTTCCCCCCCACACCTCAAGCAGTCCATTCTCAAAATACTCTCAATGCAGGCATGATATAACAACAACAACAACAAAAAAAAGTCAGATATGTATTGTTAAATGAGAAACACTGTTGAAGATAGCTAAAAGAGAACATGTTTTAGCATACCAACAACTAAAACATTATGTTCTCTTTGGTAGGCATCACAGAAATGGGAGTTGCAGAGAAATCTAAAGGATAAAAGTATGTGTTAGTTTTGTTACTTCTTTTAAAAAAGGATGTTCCTCCATCAAGACCAGTAACATTTAAAAACATATTTAAAAATTCCACTGCATTTTACATACTATAGTATGTTTGCAACATTAATAAATGTATTTATCAATGTACTTATCTAAGCAGTGATACAGAAGGAGGGTTTGTATCCTATAGTTTTTCCACTTTTATCATTTTCAAATCTGCTTTGGGATAGATGGTTTTAACTGAAAAGCAATGGAACCACGAACACATGGTGTCATATCACATATGGAACTGTTCATATCTTTGCTGTCTTACCTGGAAACCCCTTCTAACGGAGACTGAAGAATAAATCAGATGTCAATTTGTGCACTTCACACTCAAGACAGAGCACAGCCCTACCTCTAAGCGCTAAATGAGAAGACAGTCCAGTTCTTTCACCTACCTACATGTGATGCCAAAAGAAAATGTGGTTTCCAAGTTCTAAGCCTTCACTCTTTGACCTGCCTTCAGATATTAATAACTTAATTTCATCCATGTATCAATCTACTCTACTGCTACAGAGCAATTTCAGGAGTGGAGTTCAGATCAAAGTGCCTGTATCTAGGAAACCTATAACAGGAACTTGAATTTACATGTAGGTCCCCTAAAGGTTATTGAAAGAATAAGCTCACAAGTCACTAGAGTGAGAGTTAGTTGGTCAGACACAGACACGCATTGCTACTCAAGAATGTCATTTGAGTGTCGCAGGATATCCTAAAATATCTATACACAGCCTGCAAATATGACAGGACCTTTGTGAAACCTTTGCCTCTCTATAAAGTTATTAAGGTATCTCAAATGGGACAGGAGATTTCACTTGTCTATCATAGCTGAAACACGATCTAAGCTGTAATGATGACTGTACTGACTGTCTTAAAAAGGCTTAGCAGACATGAAGACATCCATATCTGGGTGTTACATCAGTAGCCAGATCCCAACTCTACAGTCAAAACCAGAGAGCGCAAAAAATGCAGAAAAAAGTATTTTCAAGAGAAGGCATGACATAATTTAAACATAGTTGCATAACATGTATTACATGAAAGTTAACCGGACATGCTACACCTCTTATATCACAATTCAGCTTCACAACCATCCAGCTCTTCCTTCCAAGGCAACAAAGGGCACATCAGCTGGTAAGCCAGATACTGGCATTAATACATAAATCAGTCTGTAATCCTACAAGACACTGACGTTACTTAAAGATGGGTATTCAGCTGCAAAACAGCACCTTGTTGTTTACAAGTCACAGTAATATTGGCTGTTATAGATTTGGAAACAAGAGATTAAAGCACGCAGCAATTGATAATGTGTTTCATCTCCAGAAGAAGTAAGAAGTTGAAAGTTCTCAGAGAAAAGAAATATTCCTGTAACACAATACTGACTATATAATGTGACTTTCAGGTTACAATCTAAGGCACATTTGTGAAACTGATGCAAGTATTCTTGTAATTTTTAACATTACTGATAGAGGAGGATGTTTTGACAAAAGGTTCCCTATATCTCTTTTGAAACAAACTTCTACAGCTGCCCTTTAAGTATAATCTAGATTTCTTGTTTATGACTTCTTAAAAAAAGTCACCCTATTTCTAGAATTAGACACAAAACAAGTCATGAAAGACAGCACAAATTACTTCACCCAGATAACAGACATTCTCATCCTATAGCACAAAAAATCCCATTCCTAACATTAAGTTGGAAACAATTTGCTTTTATGAACTTCAGTATCTATTGATTAATATTTAAATCATACCATATCTACTACAAGCATAGACATCTATATGTTAGAAGATGATGTAACAATTCTATTGGAAGGAGTCCAACACGGATGTGGCTACATCCGCCAAACTAAAAAGTAGCGTTAATAGGGTAATGGTATATATTGCCAAATACATCCAAGAAAAGTATGTGAACCCAGAGCAGGTATTCAGAATTCTTTACCCTAATGGAAAGCTTCAATTCATTAAATAAATATCATCAAGAAAGGATGCATATATGGTCATATTATTTTGAAGAAAGGTACTTATAGCTTCTGTTGTTCAAGAGAAGAATGAAGTTAGCTTTTTCCAACTTAAGTCCAAGGGATTCTCAGGAGCAAGAAATTAGCAAGCCTTTGTTGTATTTGGAACACGAGAATTTCTCTTGATAGCTCAAAAAAACTCTCTGGGTACGTGACAGAGCATAGACAGCAGATGAAAACCATTTCAGACTCAGAACGTACCGTGGATGTGCGCTGCCCTCTGCTGTACAGCTTACATTCTTCCATTAAGCCAAACAGCGATTGTGCTGTTACTTTTTAACACAGACAAGAAAGATGCACTTTACCCCAAATCAAAACACTAAAATATTACTACTCTGAGCATGCAACCAGTGCCTGCTACAGAAAGGTTAATACCTGTCACCTCAGTCAATTGACAGAGACTTCTCAATACGGATTTTTAAATGTCCATTTGTACATTTCCAAGAAGATAAGGAAAAATAAGCTTGCTTTAGTTGTTCCTCCATGTGCTTAGGGCAAGACCTTTTACTCTAATCAAGGACCAGTGGTTAACTGTCAACTCTTTCATACAGAGTATGCTGACTCAAAGTAATATATGCTTCAGCCTTATCTGTAAACTAGCAAGCCTTCCATATGGATGTGTCTCTTTTCCCCAAATAACATTCTCCGTTTGCATGTTTCTCATTCAATAAATATTTCACTTTATTACAAACACTTAACCACAACTAACTCTTCATCACTATGTAATGAAGGTATTCAAAGCATCAGAACTTCTAATGGGAAGCTGTAGTTCAAAAGTAAGCAAGCAAAAAAAAAAAAAACCACCAAAAAACCCCCCAAAAAACCAAAAACCAAAACTCCAAAAAATTTCCCCCCCTGCAAGAAATGTTTTTGTTTGTTAAAACTTTGTGAAGTTCACACAGCTACCCACACACTAATTTTTCAACTTAACCATTTGAATTTCCCTCCATGCCAAGGCATTGATTGTTAAGAGTTGGAGCAGCTTAATTTTCAAATCTTTCATTTCCTCTAGCAGAGGAATCTTCTATTTATACAGAATCACTAGAATTACTCACTTTACCTGCCCTGTTATTAATCCATACAGATGGCAACAAAAAATAACATTAAAAAAATTAAAACAACTAAGGGAGAAATCAAAATGCATATCTGCTATTTTGAATTTTCAAGATACATGGGTTTTGCTGCAAACTAAAGAATGTACTTACTTAAAACAGTATCTTCTACCACTTTCTCTCCCTCGGCTGTGAATTTGTAATGAGCAGGACACTATCGAGTCTATTTCCTTCTTTGTCTTTAAAGAAGGCCTAAGAAAATATCTATAATCTCAACTGGAACTGAATTGTCCAGCCAGCCCAGTTAGGCTGGTAATGAAACACTTGGATTTTTGCTGTACAGTGGTTTGGTTTCATCATGAAGACAAGACTCACAGGAAATAGAAAATGCTGAAGTGAATCTGGTCTGACAGGTCTCACCTGACATTCCCACTTCTGGGACACATCATGTCAATTTCTTCAAAAAAACATACAGACCTGGAAAGCTCAGAGAACCATGTTGTTTAAAAGGAAGTCAAATCTGAGACACGAATTTGCATGGACATCTCGGTGAAGTCATCAACATTATACCTAGTTCCATGGGACTACTGATAATTCTTGTCTAAACATCTACTGTATTTGGAATAGCATACACAAAAAAAGCAGAATTATTAGACAAGTATTAAAATAGAACAGGTATCCAATTAGTAGATGTTGAATTTACTGTCGAATAGCATGTTAAAAAAGCTAATAAACATGAATGTAACCATTTAATGAAAAATTAAAAGTTTTGATAAAGAACAATTAGGATACTTGGGGCTGTAGTCTACAAATATTTTTTAATGCAACCTTTTTTTCAGCTTTGGACCAAGAGTTCTGAAAAAGACCTGCAATTATTGTTTTAGCCAAGTTTAAGATAACAGTGCGTCCCTGAACCATGACACAGTGAAATGTTCCTTGGTCTTAGGTAAAGGCAGTCAAATGTTAGCGTATAATATGTCCATAATACTTTCAAAAAAAAAAGAGTCGCATCATTCAAGAAAATGCTTGTGTTTAACAAAAAACAACTTACAAGTCCAGCTTTCAGTGTAAAAAATGTGTCAGTAGAATACAGGACTGTAAAATAAGCCAACTGAAAACTTTACAAAACCCCCAGTGTTTGTAAGCAAGTCTGTGTTTAGGTGAAGTTAGACTTCCGTTATCTACAGATGTATAAATGGCTCTTAAACTGACATCAAAACCACATACACTGATCATATCTTACTTCTAATGTGCTTAGACAGCAATTAATCTTCTTGATTTCTTATTCAACTGCCACTTCACACTACTAATGGTTTAAACCTAAACTTTGACTCACTGGATCAACTGTTACCTTAGATGAGAGAATATAACTTTACATTTAAAAATATATTCTAATCTACAATACTCAGTGGGTTATACTGAAAAACAAAATGGAGCAAACCCGTACCAACACACCAGAAATTAAACAACTGCTGTTACAAAATTATACTGCGCAAAAGAATTACCTGTTTTTGTTAGCAAAAGATTATCCAGATGTCTATCTCCAACTCCAAGGATGTACGTAATTACACAATAACCAGCTGTAACAAGTAAGTTGTAAATATCAATATAAGTACCTTTCTTGGAGAGCAACAATTTCCACACAATTAACAACAGCATATGACTTTATTTTAGTTGTTGTTCAAAAGTCATAAATATACCACAGAGAGTGGGGGCAGGAGTGGTGCTGGTGAAGAATAATCAAGATTATCAACACTATGAAGAACATTTGAAGGAATAAATTATAACTCTGAAGTTTATTCCGTACTGCCTAGTTTTTAATTTCTTACTACACAATTACATGCCTAACACTAAAAGCCTAAATTCATTCAATATTGGGATTAAGATAACTTGAAGGGAAGGGGAAGTATTTTGAGCAAAATGAATGTACACATTTTGAATTTAAGATCTAAGACAACTGTAAACAAGCATGAACTGTTGTTATGAATCTGAATGTATACGTCAGCAGTATTCACAAACTAAGCAGTAAGCCAGACAGTGATAAATAAATTAGAACTAATGCAAACTTTCACCCACTAACCAAAACAGTTTGAAGCAGTTCTAAAAACTGCACCATCAAAAAGAGAAGGGGAAAGGAGAAGATACTGTGGAACAACACCTGAATTACTTTTTTTTTTTTTTGGTAAAATTGAGTTGTTGTTTTTTAGTTTAATGGACAGCAAACAGCACATTTTAACACCAATTCTTGTCACCCAAGTGGAACAAGAAATTGACTGTAACCTCAACCCAAAAAACCCCTCACGTTCTAAAAACAAATTAAAAATTTCTACTTCAAACACAGATGATATATTACTGTATAAAAGCTTTACATCTCCCTGAATTATAAAGACCCCAACTCATGATGGAGAGGGGACAGAGGTAAGATTATTGCTAGAAAGCAAAGGGTATTTACCATCTAGTCTGCTATGAGGGGAACAAAAAGAGGGCTGAGGAGAGGAGTTGCATATGAAATGCCAGGCTCAAAACTATTCTTTTCACACGGGAATTCTCACAGCAAGTACATGCATAGTTCCCTATCTGCAGTCATCTAAACTGATATGCCTTAAAACCTTATCTACCTTGTCCTTTATACTTCAGCTATGAAATTATCAATTGTAGGAGCATAACTTACCACAGCTCTTAACATATGTGTCCATTACCTCTGCACTTATTCCATGAGGGCCAGTGTCACTAGGTGCATGTTTTCTGAAGAAGTTCTGGAGGGGAATTCATCAACATATTTAGTTATTCCACATGATCTGAAATAGGAGCTTTAGAACTAGTAAAAAAAGAAAGATTTTAATCAAGATCATAAACGGCTTTTACTACAATGTGTTAAACTAACAACCACTCTGGAAAACCCTAGCAAGATCTAATTTAATTTTATATTGATTTATTTTCTGTCTGAATCACCATATTCTTATACTCAAAAGAAACAGACCTGAAGTTCAAACTAAACAGCAGTTTTCTTTATACAGCTTCAGAAAATTAACAACGTATTGAAAAGTCACTAATAACTAGGAGTGCAAAATACTTCCACAGGAAGCTGTTTAGGCCAGATCAACAAAAACTAAACCAGGCCTAACAATACAGATTAGTAACTACATTTGGGACACAGACTCTTTCAAGGTTTACGATCATTATATGTCTCCATATTCCTCAATACAACCAACCACTACTGAGTCTAAAAGGAAAAAATCTAAGTCATGAAATGGAAACCAGATTTCCTGTGAACTGTGGACAGCAGAAAACCAGTCCTTCCTACCACACAGAAAAAAACTGAATTTTTCTGCATTGAGGCAAAAGTAAATTAAAACTAAGCCTAAGCACAAGTTTCTTCCAGTAGGCAAACACAAAGCTAAGCAAGCACTGTAAGAGGAGCTTTGTAGGCATCTGGATGACATAAGAGACTAAAATAATGATGAAAAAATGAAGGGAATCTTAAAAAAAGAGAAGGAAGGTACCTGGCAGGCTATTTAAGAAAGTTTTGATGGAAAAGCAGTCTTGTAACAGTGTATCAATGTTTTAAGGCCTGGAGACAGCTTTAACTATCTTTGCTTACAGAGGAACAAGCCCTTCTGAGATGTTAAAAAAGTTGACAGAGTAGAAAGATTCTGTTAAATGAAATCCTGAAGCGAAACGTGGAAGGAAATTTTTAAATGGTTAATGAGGTACTAGAGGGATCTACTTTCACTGGCCCAAAATTTTACATGTTGTATGTAAAAAAAAACAAAACAAAAACAAAAAAAACCCCAAAACCAAACAAAAAACTAGAGACTTCAGACCATCCAAATGCTACACTGTGGAGTGTGGAATAGAAATAATTCCAAAACATGAACTGCAATTTCCAGAGTGTTCATAGAAGGTAAGTAACACTCAAACATCAAAGCATCCTTGCTGTCCTGCATTACCAGCTAGTATTAGATGACTTGCTTTAAATCTTTTCAGAAGTGAAACATTTTTAATGTTTATATACAGTGCCCATCTTTATTAAAGCAGGTGTGACACCCAAAATGAATATTTACAAAAAGAATAAACTAAACTTTCACAACACCTAAAAAACTGTTAATTTAGCTTTTATTTCCTTGGCCTACAACGCCCAGTTATTTCATCATGCTCTAGCACAGGAAATCTGGGCTCTATAATGTGTTTTGCCGTTGATCTGTAAAGTAATCTTAGATCACATTCTTTTGGCGTCTTGCTTATTTAGATTAGCAGTTCTTCACAAAAAGAATTGCTCCTTACGTCTGCACAGCAACTAAAACAGTGGGGCACCTATTTTGGATTGGAATATGATTTTATAAGTAATTGCAAAATGACAATTTCAAACACATTTCTGTTATGTAATTTTATAAATAACATACTATGGACTACAATACGAATAGTAAATTTTCAAGATTACAAAGGACTGCCAAAAAAACACTTTATAAACTGTATGATTATTGTATGTGTAGATGTAGGTCACCACAACCTTTACAGAACAGAAGGCCCAAAAAAACTTATGCAACTTGATGATGGTTATTGTTTCATTAATGATAAGCATTTTTTATAAATTATAATCATTTACATGCTCATTTGTTAAGTAAATGATACTGACAAATGATAAGCATTTTTCAATCCCTATATTTTAATAGTTTATAGCAGCTGGGAGCTATTTGCTTTGACTCCCAGTTACTGAGCTATGAACAAACGTGAACTTCAGTATCACTTACAAAAAAGGGGAAAAAGGTACTGCGACAAACTGAATCCAACATAAACATGCTGCATTTTCACTAAAAATCCTATTAGTTATATACCTCATATGGCAATTTGGTATGGTTTTATCTAACTATATTTATCTCAACCAGCTGAGCTCTGCTACCTAACTTGTGTGCTGTGCTTGAAACTAGCATGAATTTTGTGTGCCACTATTCATTTATGTGTCTCTACTCAATTCCATGACAGTTACAGAAACTCTGCTAAAAGTAAATATAAATAAATAAATAAAAATAACACAGTATCTATACATCCACTATTGCAGGGAAACAGACTTCAGAAATTGTATGTACAAGCTATTTAGTTGTTCCATTAAAAAAAAATAAAAATCATTAAAACATACTTTGACAAGGTATCAATCCAAAAGTACCAAGTGAACAGCACAAACACTTCAAAACAGTAGTCTCATGCTCCTGCCATTTGTCATTACATTGCCAGAATTTCCGTATCACGACTAAATTTCACTTCAGTTATTTAAATGGTCTTACTTTTAGGACATGAGATACTCATGTGGTGATTTAAGTTTATTTTTTAAAGCAAAACTTCTGCTGTAAATACCTTTACATTCCAAGCTGTAATGTCTCTTCTACAACAGATACAAAAATCAGTTGAGAGACTAAAGACTTCTGCATAAGATCTAAGTCTACAATTTATACTACTTTATCCAAAGATGACTTAAAAATCCCCCATCACGTACCTGTATACTTTCCTCAGTAGCAAGAACTTCTGCAACTGGTACTGACTGAATAAACTGCATGAAGCCTGTGACAGAAAACATCCAAAAAGTCTCCAATGCGTAGAACATTCAAGCTACTCTAGAATGCATGTTTATTAGAGGGCAACATTAATATGCACTTTCATTCAACTGCTGCTTACAGGCAGAAAATCATGTTTTATCCCAATTTTCCTCCTTCAGTAATTTTAAAACAACTTGTCATTAACACCAAATTAGCTTGCAAAAGGTCTGTTGTTCCAAGTTTTCATGAGAAGAGAAAGACAAATCTATGGCTTTCCAAATATTTATTCAGAATGTATCTAAAAGCAGAGCCAAGACTAATTTTGTGTTGTATTTTCTTTTGCCTCCATTTCATGCAAAGATCTATAAATAGAAGTTCTTTGTCTGAGATCACACAGCAAGCTAGCAGCAAAGGTAACACTACTGATTGTCACATACTCCAAAATCCAGATGGGGCTTCTTTTATGAAGATACTTGAGTCACCTATGGAATACTGTGGTCACTCAGGTTGTTTACTTCCATGACTTGTATTACAAGATTTTCTCAAACACTTGAGCTCCTTTTTAGAATGCTGTACTAAGCAAAACATCTGTCATGCAAATAGCATGTCACAATAGTCTACAAAGAGAAGGAGAAGACTCCTCCCAATACTGTATTTTCACGAAACAGATGTATTCATACCATGTTTTGTACTAGTTGCCAGCACTTTATAGGGTGTCAGCTTCAAATCCAGATTCTCTTTTCTTAACAGCTAGGAAAAAAAACAAACCAAACCAAAACATCAAAGATGAATGCAATAGAAAGGCAGCTTCTATTTCTAAAAGGAATGTATATTGAACATTGGTGTCCACTGTTCTTCACTGAAATCAGTAATGAGTGACGGCCTGTTTGCCTTTATATTTATTTTTAAGTGTACACAGGCTCACTGCCTGTCTATAAAGAAAAGAAAAAAGCCACCTAAGATCTGAGAACCATGGAACGTATTAGGAACATAAACCGCATTAACAGTTTTCAAGTCTTGCTCTCAACAAGGCAAATCAAGAACACAGAAAGACAAGGATGCGGATTCGCAATTCTTACCTTATCCATGAGTGAAATAATCTGAAGAATAAGTTGATCTTGACGTAAATCATCACCATGCTTAAAAATTACAGGATATTTGCCTCCATCTTCTGTCTTGAAGAATAACTGAGCAGGCATTAAGGCACTCTGGAAAAGGAAACTTATTCTACTAAGCTGGTGCATAGCAATGTTCATATTAACATGTTGCTACAGTGGAGTTCTAAATTATAAATCCTTGTTTACTGCAGAAGTGAATACTGCATAAGTTTACATCAGAAGTGAATTAAGCAAGTATCAGGTCATCACATCAAATTCAGTTACAAAAAGTCCCATTTTAATATCAAAAGCGTGGCAGTGAGCACCAGAACTCTTTTCATGTTCCTCAAGTTTGGTAGAAAAGAAGCAATTCTAAAGCTCAAAAAGCAGTTACTAACTGTCTAGGACTCAACAGTTAGAACATACCATTTCCAGTTACCAACAGTGTGTTCTACGCCTGTTTTTAATATACCTTAAGGCTTCCCTTCTTTTTTAGCAAGGAGTGTGAAGGACACGTCCCGTGTGTCGTGTCCACCCCACCGCACCCTCACCCCTCACCCCAGCAGCTGAAGAGGAAAGGACAGGAAGACTCAAACTTTGTTTGTGTGCATGTAATTCCAGTCAACATAGAAGCGCTATGCAAAAGGTCACAACAAAACAAATTTAAACTGACCAGATCAAAAAGAGACACAATTATAGGATAAACATCACAGAAATACTAGGGGCAAGACATCTTAAACAATTAATTGCTCCCTTAATCTATTTATCAAAAGCAAAAATGCCTTTTTACATTGTTGTTTGAGAAAGCCAATTTAATTGTTTGCAATTTCTCTGCTTAAAAAAGATTGAAGGGGATCAATTACCTACATGAATGATTTCATCTACTGCAGCTGACCAAGTCACTTCCCTCAAAACCAAACCAAAAAAATTAATCAAAGATACAGAGTTTAATATTTGAGCAATTACATTAGATTTTCACATGCAATTAATGTTTCAAAATTAAGTTCCATGAACAAAGGAGAAATGATTCTTTAAATAGTTCTACAAAAGCTGCCAAGTCATGTCCAAGAGCACCAAAAATGAGTCATCCTTCCCTCTTTGGATTTGTTTGGTTTTTATCCCATAGCACAGAATGAGAGATTAAATGGAAATCTGTACCCTTTCAGGATCAGGAAAACCAAAACCATCTCTGATTTTGAAGCAAGTTACTACTCATATTTTTGGTTCCGAATTTTCTACATTGCTACAGAACACTAATATGTGGAAGACTATCTAACTTGATTTTGTCCTGATCAAGTTAAGCTATCATTCCCAATAGGAAATGTTTGGTTGCTGTTCCAGCAGACTTTTTGTCAACACACTTCCCCTTAAATCATATTCATGCCAGAATCTGACTCAGGTTCGCAACACCTTGTTTTCATGACAAAATCTTTCCAATGTGGCCTCCAACCTGAGGTGCAAGAGCATGGAATTGAAGCATACTCTTCAAAAAGACTAAACGGTATGTAAAGAAGCAAGCCAAAGCTAGGGAACCAAGGGATATGTCAGAAAACTATGGAAAAAAGTTCATCTCTGATTTTAAGTAAACACAAATTATATCACAGGCAACAAGCAGCCTGTCAAAGTTTGAAACTACTGGGTATAATAAATTTATGACCTAGTAGAGAAGACGGATTAACACTGGCTGCCACTGCAGCTTGAACGTTTTTTAACTGGCAGACAACGTCTGCTGGACTTAAGCCTGACTGGTAAAGCACGATTTGGTCATCTATATGAGTTGAAAGTAAATTTATAAAGAGGTCCTACATCACTGGACACAGGCAATAACTTACATTCCAAGTAGTATAGGAAGCAAAATAACCCCAGCTCTTTCAACAGCGTATTGACTGTTTATTAACTAGATTAAGGAATGGCCATATGATCACAAGCAACTGCTATGGATTGGTTTAAGGAGCCCACGGATACAGGATCTACCTGCCAGTCTACCGCAACAGAATGAAATGGACCACCTTTTTTCTTTCCAGTCCCCCAAAAATTTAAACTTTTATTTCACAATGGAACAGATGCACACCTCGAGCTCTGATGCAGCGTACCTGTCTCGATTTGTATGATTTTGATGGTAAGTGGCATTCCTACTGAACAGTCTAAGGTTCAGAGAAATTCTGAACTAGGAAGCATGCCTTCAGCCTGGGGATCTCCTAAACTTTACAAACTATATCAGTCTTATAAAAGCTGCTTTAAAGTTTGTATGTTAACTTGAAAAGAGTTTCACAAAAAAAATAAAGTTGTTTAACTTTATAAGCCCATTACCGTTACATTTTGCCTCAACTATGTCAGACCCTTTAAATCTTTCAACTGATTTTTTTAAGCTCAGTGTTCGTAAGAGCTGTTTGTATTCCAGCTATTCAGAGGATCTCATTTACCTTGAAGAGTGTGGCTTTTTCAGGGATTATTCCTTTAATTTTCACCTGAGGTTCCAGAGGAAGTGGAATAAGTTCCATATCTGCTAAATTCATCTTTTCATTATCTGCTAACAAAGCCTGAAGCCTCTCATTCTAAAAGAATAAAAGAATTAAAAACTTGTTTAATAAAAAAAACCCCAAACATAAAAACACATACTAGGTATATATGAACAGTTAAAAAGTTCTTAACAAAAGATACATGAAAATATCAAATTTATTAAATTCTTTACTCTTCCAAAAAATCAGGGTTTCACACTTAAAATCCAGTGAAATAAGGATTCTCTATTTGCAGTAATCTCAATAAGGAAGCAGATATTCCATCTAATCTGAGTGTATTCAAGTGATTTTATAAATGGCAGATATTATAGTCTTACAAAAATTTATTTCTAAATTGCCTGCAGAAGTAGCAGGATGATTTGTTTTCTATACCAGCATCAAAAGTTAGCTCTGTTTCAGAAACTTGATTCAAGTCCTTAGCTCTGATCCTTTGTATCCCTGAACTCAAGGAGATCCCCTACCACCAATGAACTAAATTGCCAACAGCGTGCACAGATCCGATTTCAGGGCTTGCTCTACATTCCTACATCTGTAGTTACCAGAAATACAATACCAGTCAATTTTCTACTACTTTACATTTGGCGTCCTACATAATAAAGGTTGAATCCATAAAAGTCTCTAGTCTTTTCCCCTGCTGAATATAACGGGCATAGACACAGTGACACATCAAGGCAGCCCGCTACTGATAGGAATACTTCCAGTGGTTAATTGCTGCTAGCTGCATTTTAATCCAAAAATCAAAGCCACGTGTTTTCTTAGTTTTACAGAAATATCGTGGCAATTATAAAAGAACATTTGACAGAATGCTATCAATGTATTGCACTAGCAGAAAATACATTTTTATGAATTGAAAACCCCTCCTCCTCTTTCAGTGATTACACCTTAATTACTGATACACAGCACATTCACAACATTTCACAAAAATGCTGTCATGCTTAACTGTTTCATTTTCCTGCACAAACATACCTCACAGAAAGGAGGTGACAAAAATTATTACACTGAAAACTCTACGTTTAAAAGCACTAATGTGTGTCAGAGGAAAAAAAAATACATTAGTAGAAATCCCTTTGGTGTTCCTGCTGCCTTCCCTTACCCATCTGTCAAGTTCACTTGAAATATTTTAACTATGAAGGACAAAGCTTCTTAAAATGCACCTATGATAGAAAACATTTTCCTCAAGATGCAACAGACAGCTAAGTTCTGCTAAACACACAACTTATGAAAGAAAAGTTTTGTTGCTCTTGGAACAAAAGAACTCTTGCTGCTAATCAAATTTCAGTATCTATCCTGGCATAATTCTTACACCACAGTAACCTCTGCTCCCTTCCCACATCCCCCACAACTTGTTCACTGCAACTATTCAATTATTCTCATATCTACCTTTTGCAAAAATATCCCAAGATGTTTCTCAAGGGTCTCTCCTGTTTTTCATCTACAAACTTTCAGAACACTTTGGAACTTTGACCAATCTAAACCTCTCCAAAGTTTGTTTAAATTTAGGTAAAATTATTACAGGACAGATGGACATTTGTTCTAAATCTCAGTCCAAAGAATTTTTAGTGAAGAGCTAACATTCCTATTGTAAAATTCTAGCCAGAGATAAGTTTTCCAATCCCCTAGTTACCTTTTTCTTACGATTCCCACTTTCACGCTGCACTGCCTTCATTACATGAACCAGCCGGTCTACAAACGTCTGCTGGGCTGCCAACAATGAACGCATAACTCTGACAGACTTATCACCCTAAGTGAATTAAAAGAAAGAAAATTAGTTCTTTGTTCTGTAATTATTTTATCTAGAAATTATTCTTTAATTCTTAGACCTTTGGGCTTTTAAGAGGTAAGTGAATAACGATCAATTTCCTGTCAATTCGAGAGGTATTTTTTGTAAAACACAATCAGAATCACTGTAGCTGGCAATCAATTATCTGACCTACCAATGCACTTCAGTTTGCATCAACAATTTCAGTGGTGAACAGCCATGCATGACAAACCTATTCACACAGCCAAAGTAAGTTAGGTAAGGATAAGCACACGGAATACTCTTATGAAGCGTAAGAGTCAGATTTGAATAACATCCCTAAAATGGAATTAATATGAAGTGAGAGATACACTAAAATCAGCAAAGACTGCAGGTCTGCTATCAATTATAGACTGCAATTCACAAAAGCTTTTTTTTTCCCCAATGCTCCAGCACCCTCTGCTGCTAATACACAGAACAACACTGCTTGTGAATTCAAAAGATAGGTGTCTAGTCTCAATCTGCATTGCACGGGCAAGTGAATCCAATAAAGAAATAGTAAATAAAATACACTGATTACACAAGGCAGAGGATTTTAGAACCAGAATGTTACTAACAGGAACAAGCAATAAAATAGAGGAAAAAGGTCTCAATAATTGTTCTTTTCTTTTTCAGTAGTTTCTTTGGTTTGCCACAAACTCAAAATTCAAGCAAAAGTGGAAGCTTTTTTTAAAATTTCAACATATGTGACACAAAAAACTGTCATGTGTGTTGTTGTCATTCTAGACACCTGTGCCCATTTAAAAGATGACTAACCCAAACCACTACGTATTTCCTTACACAGAAGGCATTACCTTCAGCAAAGCCTGACTAAATCTTCTCATCACATTTAAGTACATTTCATGAGTCTTTGGGTCCCTCTGCTGAGTGTCTTGGTCTTCACACTCCACTATTACATACCTGCAGCATAAAAACACACAAGTTATGCTGTACTCAGGTGCTATACAATTTCAGTCAAATACAGCAGCCCCGTATTATAGGCCTGGAACTAAAAATAAAGTGGATCTCGAATGAGAGATCAACCAACAGGAGAACTTGTCAAAACTGCATAGTCAAATTCCCACTTGGATCAGGAGAGTCTGTCAAAGTTTTTGAGGTCTTTCAGCCTACAGGAGAGCTGGAGAAGGACTTTTTACTGGGGCATGTAGTGACAGGACGAGGGGGAATGGCTATAAACTGGAAGAGGGCAGGGTTTAGATTAAACATTGGGAAGAAGTTTTTCACTATGAGGGTGGTGAGGCACTGGAACAGGTTGCCCAGAGAGGTTGTTGAGGCCCCATCCCTGGAGGTGTTCAAGGCCAGGCTGGACGTGGCCTTGGGCAACCTGGTCTAGTGGGAGGTGTCCCTGCCCATGGCAGGGGGGTTGGAACTCGATGATCTTCAAGGTCCTTTCCAACCTAAACCATTCTACAATTCTATGATTCACTTACAGTGAAGTGGCATCACTCAAAAAGGACAAGTCAGAAGTCCAAATCATATGAACACTGCAACCAAGCAGTACACGCGGGAGGAATAGGCATTCCACTGTGCTACTACCCTTTACATAATGTAGTGGCTGCAAACTCGCTATTCAAGTATACCTGCAAAAACAAGAAGAATCTAACCCTACATGTCCCCTGCTGTACCATTAGCAATGGTGGAAGAGACTGTATTGGTCCTGAAGCAGCTCTGTGAAGTCGACGTTCCAAAATAAGTATTCATTTCCAAAATTCAAGTACAAGATTTAAACAGTACAATTTGGAACACTTATACTGAAAACATAATTTGTAATGTTAAGCGGCTGTTTGGAAAGCTTTTGTGCTTACTTCTATTCACAGCACTGACAAGCACAAAAATAGCTATGCACAGGAAGTCTTCTGCTGACCAACATATCTCCTACTATTACTCAGTAAAAACATATAAACCCCCATAACATATAAACACTGCACTCCACACATTCAACAAACACACTTGGACTTTAGGCTGGCAGCTAGAATTACCCCTTCCTTATGCACTTGGGCAGAATCTCTTTGCAACTGAATGATTATGGGACAAGATTAGAGGACTGTCATTTGCAGCTGATTAGATTTGACTAGTCTTATTTATAAATACACAACGTACTATATGTATTCAAATAAGCTATATGTAACTTATTCCATTAATATTATCCCAATGAAATCTATAACTAAAAGATTATTCTACGACTCCAGAGTGCTGGAGCATGTCTCCTATGAGGACAGGCTGAGAGAGTTGGGGTTGTTCAGCCTGGAGAAGAGAAGGCTCCAGGAAGAACTTATAGCGGTCTTCCAGTAGCTAAAGGGGGCCTACAGGAAAGATGAGGAGGGACTCTTTATCAGGGAGTGTAATGACCGGACGAGGGGTAATGGTTTTAAACTGGAAGCCGGAAGATTCAGATTAGATAATGGAAAGAAATTCTTTACTGTGAGGGTGGTGAGACACTGGCCCAGGTTGCCCAGAGAAGCTCTGGAGACCCCATCCCTGGAGGTGTTCAAGGCCAGGCTGGACAGGGATTTGAGCAACCTGGTCTAGTAGGTGTCCCTGCCCATGGCAGCGGGGTTGGAACTAGGTGATCTTTAAGGTCCCTTCCACCCCAAACCAGTCTATGATTCTATGACTTCACTAATATATTCTTCTACACTATTCCCTCACTTAAAGGACAAAATTAGATTGCAGTAATGCGTATTTAAACAAAAGCCCATCTTTACAAAGTCTGTGCACCAAAACTTCAAGGAAAACAGGAAGTAATGAATTGAAACATGCCATTTTCACCTGCATTTGTTAAAAAGCCCTAGACAGTTTCTCAAAGCTTTCTTGAAACAAGGAGTAAGAGTAATGCTTCATACTTAGACAGGTGTCTCATGCATCCGAAGAGGAGACAGAAAAAGACAGTAACACTGACTTCTGCAGCTGCTGTTAAAGTCTAAGGATAGGATAGCTTTACAGTGACAAGTGACCGAGTAGGAGGTTTGATTTTCAAGGGTTATTGTACTTTTTCCATTGATTACTTTAGGTGCATGCTGTGTCTGGATAGTTGAAATGAGCAATTGATCAGCAGCCAAGAGGATTTATGGCTACGTCAGCTCAAACAGTGGCTGCAACATTTGTATTCTGTCATTGAGAAATTGAGATGTCTGGAAAGAAAACAAAGAATAAATGGACTGGGTTTTTTTTGTTTGGTGAGGGTTTTTTTGTGTTTTTTTTTGTTTTGTTTTGGATTTTTTTGAGGGCTTGGTTTTGTTGCTTTTTTTTAAGTCATAAGACAAAAACTTGAGTTCTGGATATCTGAACTTTCTGTAGACTGAATGTCTGAGGTGGTGCCAAAGTGTAAGTGCACAGGTTCTACCAATGTGATAGAAATAAGCTAACCTACTAACACTTACCTTAAATGAAGAATATTTTATTAGGTCAAGCATTTGGCCTCTACCCACATCAATCAATTGTTTTAATCATTTAAATTTAATAGCCCTTTTTTCTGAAGCCAAACCTTATCTTTGGCCACTACAATAGAAGTATGTACATTGAGGAACTGTAGTTAAGTCATGCACTTACATATTTTAAATTTAAGCTACTGAAAAAGCAATGAAATAATAAAACTTAAGAAGATATTCACAAATGGAATCATTCTAAAGGTAGGTTAGAATAACAGTTTGATAGGTTTTCGTCACATATCACACTCTGTTCCTAGTTCACAGCCTATATGTAGTTAATATTTGTAGATCATTAACATGCAGTAATATGTATTAGTGTTTTTAATTATTAGATAGATCTACAAAGGATACAAATGAGAATCATTTGACTTAAGTTTAGCCATGTAAAAAGCACCTAAGCTCTTTATTTTAAAATATGTATGTATATACAAGTAATTAGCTGTATGTGTTGTGCATACCCATACGTATATATATTAATATATACACACACCCTTTCACAGAGTACAGCTTTATTCATCTTAGCTTTCTTCAAGTAAGACATTCTATCTGCAATACTTACTCAGAAGACATGCAGATGACTCATTTAGGCATCTGCTTTAACAAGATCCTTTGCACAGTAATCTTACTGCCCCTACCTAGATGAACTATTCACAACTAAAGTTTCCCCTTAAGAAAGCACACATCTGCAATGACATTTTGATTTTGCTCGTAACATAAGCACAAAGGGAATCTAAAAAATAATTAGGTTAGCACAAAAAAATTAGTGCTTTATGAATCTTCATAAAGTACATTCTCGATTAATACTGAAGTGCATAACCTTAATATTCTAGCCAACACTGTCAAAAACTATGAACACAAACCAAACAGAAAAGCAGAGCAGAAGATGAAGTTCGTCTCCTTTCCACCACCACAAGGCAACTGAATGACAACTTATAAACGATAGTTACACTTTTCTTTTTTTTTCCCTCTTTAGCACTGTGGTTAATGCCCTACAAATCACCTTACCTGGTCTAACAACAAAGCACATTTGTGCATTTTAAAAACCAGAACCCTCCTTTTATTAATTATCCTGTTCAAATGCATATTGTTTTAAATCTACTACTTCGTTCTGAAAGAAATTAAGATTCTCAAGTTCTCAAGACAGGCCACCTTTTGCTGTGCAACCTTTTGGGCGTTATAGCTTTGATTTAAATTGGACATTGATACAGCATGAATAAATAGTTTCCAACATACCAGTATAAGTAGTTTGCCAACGTAGAATTTTTGCATGCTCGTGATATCAAGAAAGTGCAAAGGTCTTGCTGCAGGGGATTTAAGAAAAACAAAATTAAGTTATAAAGAAGTCTCAGCTCTTGGGAGAGAGATGAAGTTACAGAAAAACCCCAAATAATCGCAAGGAGTTTTGAGAGACACATTCCCTTCTAAAAGCTGAATCCAATCCAACCTAATATTTACATCATATTAGTTTCAATATTAGTCCAAATAAATCCTGCACAACACAAGTAAAAACATGTCTGCTACTACAGTAATGTATCTTCCAATGTGTCAGAAGTACATGATGTTCTCCAACAATAAATCTTTAATGTAAAGTTTCTATTTCCGATATTACCCTTTCCTTCTATGCAATTATCCCTTGCTGTAAGATTGAACCTCAAAAGGGATTTGTTACCCTGTTTTGCATCCAGAAGATCTGAAACTCATTAAGATGTTCTACATTTTAACGTTAAAAAAAACAGATCTGTAGAGGATACACAGTATTTAGTTGCTTTTTCAAGGTTTAATAGTCAACTAACAAGAAATCTGTTTATCTTTACCAATATGCTCGCTTTGAGGCTTATTTTCTATGCAGAACTAAGACCCAAAAAGGAAGATTTGCAACAGGGAATGGATCTTTAGTTCAAAGACCAATTAACTACACAACAGAATAAAATCAGATTCCCTCAAACTGTCCTCTCCTTGTATCATTCCCTCCCCCTTCAGTCTCATTTTTATTACTCCTCTACTCGTGGCATAACTTCAGTGTAATCTCTGGCAAATGTAAATCAACACACTGTCTCACTTAGGTGCAAAAAGATGACACCCACACTAAGGAATATTGGCCACAGGAATTACAGACTGCAGAGATTAAAAGATGAGGAATTTTTTTTTCCATTAAAATATCTGCTTCAAAACACTTCAAACACATGCAATTGTCAGTATTAATCAGCACATGATAGCCTTTGCAGTAGTCTTCTTTAAAGGAGAGTAATTTTATAAAGAATTCAATACCCAGTCCCCCATTTTTGGATAGTGTGACCATGTACATAAATAGATGGCCTGTCAAAAAAAAAAATCAGTTAAGCTATTGCTATTTTCTTAGCATTTAGTTTACTTTTATATTCTCTGAGCACTTTAAGTATTCAGCAAACAAAAACTAAAACCAGTCACTAAAAAGCCTCAGGTATCAAAAATGCTAAGTAAAGTATATGACTTACATCAAGGTTTTCATTGTCTGCTTGTTCCTTTGTCTTAGAAGTAAGAGGTGGTGAGGAAACAGGTGGAATAGGACTCATGATCTGGGAACTACATAAAGGAAAGCATGTAATAGGCATGGTTCAAAGTTCTTGCTTGGAGGGCAGCAGGCACACATGGAAAAAAAAAGGATTTCACTTCCACAGCATAATAAATCCAGAAAACTAGACGAGAAGTACCTTTGAAGATAGTACCCCATCCCTGTTTCAGAACAAACTACTAACAGCACCTTTGGCAGCTACAGTTCCTGAAAACAATAGAAATCTTTGCATGGATAGCTACACAGTTTATAGTTGTGGAGGACATTCACGTATATCAAACTTAGCATTTTGTTCCATTTTCCATAAAAAAATAAGCAGACATAATAGGAATTTAGCAAATCCACATTTTCAGGATAAGCCTTTTTTTTTTTTTAAACATTCTTAAAATTAAATTGCTAATACACAACACCTGCAACCACTCATCTCTGGAATGCAATTAGACATAACAGAGTAGACAAACCCAATACTTGCAAGGCAAAATTATCATACAGTAAATTCACCTGAAAGGAAGTAATCAAACAGCTCTACTAATGTATAAGTACCACTGCAGCCTCAAAATACACCATACATCCCAGGACACCCACTGCACAGCTTAACAGCAAGATCCATGTAAAGCAATATGCTTGTAACATGAAAAGTACACCCTAGTGACACAAGTGATTAGACATTGAAGCCTAAGACTAAAAATCCTGGAAATTTGTATTAAATATTCACAGGAGACTTCAGTTAACCAAGTTTGTTTGCACCTTGCTTAATACCATATTAATTAGATATTTCAGCCTTTCTTTTGGAGTCCTGCAAAAATAAGAAGTGTGCTCTCCCAGCTCCTTTACATCCATAGGACTCTCCCTACACCATTTTTTGCAGGAGCAGGAAGGAATTTCCTCCGTTTCAGGCTGATTACACTTTTAGATCTATATTCTTTGATGAAAGTGAGAAGTGGAGCCTCATACAACGTCACTGAAGACATCGTAACTTTTGCAAGGACAGAAGGAAGCAATAACAGCATTTTTCCTGCTCTCCAGAAGTTGTCTTCCTTTCATGCAGTAAAGTCAAAGGCCACAATTTCAAGATTAAGAATGTTTGCTCTGTAAATTATCTGTAGTTGGAAAATAAATCCCATGAAAGAATAGGGGTTATTTTTGTTTGTTTATTTTTACATCATCACTTGATATAAAATACAATGTTGAATATGCAATGGTCCCCAAAAAAGAGAAAGAATTTGAGGGATTACAATGTTACACATTTCTGCTTTTCTACTGGAAATCTAAGCTTCTTACCTGTCTATTTCTGCACCGTTAGTTCCAGATGTTGTCATACTTTCTGACATTGAACCTTGACTGTCCCTTTTGCTAGGTTCCAGTCCATTCTTTATGTCATCAAAGTTTTCGTATTTCAATGCCTGGACTAATTGTAGCAGGTACATCAGCAAATCCTCATGGAAAAAAAAAAAAACCAAAAATTAATTGAGGGGGTGAGTCAAAGCTGACTAGGACTCCATATGTTGTCAAAATTCTAATGTATCTACAGAAAATACTTACTCAGGATTAAGTGACCTATAAAGAAATGGAAAACGGGGTCTCCCTAGCAAGCAATATGCAATAAAAAAACTGGTGTAGGATGGACTCCCAAAAGATACCAAGTTATCACACTGCTATTTTTTTGTTACTCAAGTACATATTTAAGTGTAATTACAACTTTAAACTTCTACTTTGTTAAGCTGTCCTGCTTGCTTCCAGCATCCACCAAAAAAACCCTTTCAGCTTGTGGCTTCCAAGAAGAAAATCCAAGCATAAAACTTGAGCCATGGTACGAGGAAATCGGATTGTCTTCCCTCTTACACGTTTTCTTTTTCTCGATCTCTTGCATAGCCAGAGATCCAAAACAAAACAAAACAAACAAAAAAACCACCCACATCTGATCTACTTTAGATTGAAGAACAGAATTTTAATCATGTCCTATTTTATAATGAATGTGTTCCCTCTAATATGGGAAACGTTCAAATGTTTTGTAAAAGGTACATTTTTAAAGTCAAAGCAGTATGACCTTGGCTATTGAAGTGGGCTTGCAAAAATTTGATATATTTATGATCCCTATTTTAAACTCTATTGATTGCCAAGGACTCAAGAGTTACGGCAATACATTCAAAGTAATTTTTTTTTACTGTCAAAATAAAATATAATATATAAATAATTAAAATTTAACATATCAGCATCTAGTAAGTGGGCTCTACTCAGAAATCACAGCTCATCATACTCTAATCAGTATACAATTAGAATATACCTCATTTCCACAGATGCTTTTCTACTCAAAAAAAGTATGATGATATACTGCTTCAATTTGGTCGGTACTGGGACCTGTATTATTCAACATATTTGTCGCGGACATGGACAGTGGGGTCGAGTGCACCCTCAGCAAGTTTGCCGATGATGCCAAGCTGTTTGGTGAGGTAGACATGCAGGAGGGGAGGGATGCCATCCAGAGGGACCTGGAGAGGCTGGAGAGGTGGGCCCAAGCCAACCTCATGCAGTTCAACAAGGCCAAGTGCAAGGTCCTACA